TGTCTAATATCTCTACTATGTCACTATCCTAAAATAGATACAAGATAAACTAGATTGCCTGATTTATCTCATATAAATACACACACTCTTTTTTTAAATAAAAAATTGTACCATTTTCTACCTATGCACACACAAGTCTGCTCCTTATTTTTCTAAATCCTGTTTAAAATGGGACCTTGCTTTTTTTTTTTTTTTAATTCTGGACTAGCTTGAACCATTTCTTATTGGAGCTATTGACCTTGGATAATATACAACTCTAAGGACACCAGTTTTAAATGTTGCAGGAACTTCAGCAATCTCCCATTGTTTTTGGCTTCTCCCCAGTCATCAGTTCAACATTACAGCAGCCCTGATGCAAGCCACCTTTTCCAAAGGGGGTCCCTCTAGTCCGGACATCACCCCCACTTCCTAATAAATCTAATTCCATTTTCCATTACATCTCATATTCTAAGCCTAAACATTGTTTTTCTCAAAAAAAACTCTGCTCCCAAGTACGGTGGAAAGAACATTTCAGGGCACATTTACAAAATGTAAAGAGCTAGCAAGTAGAAGGTCATCTCACAGTACTTGTTGGTAAAATGAATACCTTATGTTACAGCCCACTACTGAAGACAATGGACTCAAAGGAACTAAAGATTATTTGAGATCTACAACAAAACATTTTTCAGAAAAGCTGTTTCTTAAGTAGAACTAACAAAGCCTGTTTCCTACAGGTTTGCATCTTCCTCTACATTACTGCTGTTACAAGCCCGTTAAGACTCTTCCATACAACCCTTGTTTTGGTTCCCTCTCACATTCCTTAATCGGCATCCCTTCCGCTTCTCATTCCTTGAGTAATGCCAATTACTTCTCCTGCTCCCTAATTACTGAGTGAAAGCAAGACAATTCTATGCCTGTTTCCAAATCATGCATGTACTAAGTGGCCTACTGACAGTCTGTGAAGGGGAAGAGACAGGGGGAAGAAATCACAAACAGTTTTGCCTTGTACAAAGCAGTAATTTTCAAGAGAGACTTACAGGATCTTCTATTTCAAAATGCATTTGCTTCTGCTGATGATCACTCCACAGAGGAACAGACAAACAGATAGACAGAGCAACTGCATGAGCTTGTTTGCTGAGGAACCAAGGCACACATATGTCCCCTGGCATCAGCCAAGATCTTGTCTCATAAGTCTTGACTTTTATTCTGGCTTCTAGTCTTAAATCACAGTTTTAATTTTAGTAAGTGTTATACATTTAAAAAAAAAAAAAACAAAAACAAAAACTCACCGTTTTATTACGAAGTCTAATTATGTCCGAAACAGAGCCAGCTCCACAATATTCCATAACAATCCATAGATCTGTGTTCTTAAAATAGCTGCCATAGTACTTGACAACATAGGGACTAGATAGAAAAAAAGTTAGATAAACAGATGAATTCTTAGTAGGGAGAAAAAAAAAATAGCACCGCAAGTATTGTTAAAAATTACAGTTTAACACACACTAACACAGCTGAAGAGCAAGTGTAATCAAATACATTATAAAATTGTAATTAACTTAACCGATGACTTGTTAGAATAATGTCTGACTGCTTAATAAAATTATAAAGACACTACTATATACATCAGCTTCCAGTGATCTTCTCACACAGACGTAGTTTTCCCAAATATTATCCTTCTGATATAAAGCTTTGTTTTTCCCTCCTCTAAGGTCTCTCAATTTTTAACTCTTCTCTCACAAAGTTATTGGATGTTTCTGTTCCTAAAAATATTGCCTTGTTTTCTTCTCTCCTAAGCAAAAAAAAACCCATGGAAACTCACCCATGTTTTCCTAGTTTTGCAAGCATGAACTTATTTCAAGTACAGATCTAGTCTTCCATATTAAACAGAATCTAGTGTTGGTTTGAGCAAGACTTTGGGATTTGCAAATGCATTTTCATATTGAAGTGTCTCATGTGAAGAGATAGTACTGTCATAAACCCAACATATTGCTTTGCTACTCATCAGTTTTTCAGTTGACATAATGCTTCCTCAGAGGCACTTGCCAAAGAAAGGCAGAAACAGATTTGGTAAACATAAAAAGGATCATCCTTCAGAAAAGCGATTAGATAGTGTATTTATGGAAATAAAAGGTTGGAGGTTTTGGGGTTTCGATTTTTTGGTTTTTGCTTTTTTTTTTTGAGGGATGGCTTGGTTTCAGGGTTGGGTTTTTTTTGCAGGAACTTAAGCAAAGGAGGTTACAGTTAGACCACCATCCATCTCCCACAAAGTCAAGGAGTAAGATACTGAGATCTCAGACAGTGGCTTCTGGTCAGAACACCTGCACTGTGGGGTGGAATCAAACACTACTTTGTTTTGGAGCAAAGAACTGTATTTTAGGATCAGCATGCTTCGCAGTAAAATTTTTTGTTAGAAAACTGATGTAAGAGAAAGAGAGGACCTATGGTTGCCTCCTGCACCATGGTGCTACCTTTTCATAAAGATAGGTCAAAACTATCGGAAAACTACTTCATTATACAGCAACTGTTAGCACTATAGGAACTTGCCTTCACAGAAGGTGATGATGGGTTAATTCCCTCCTAACTAGTCAAAATGTCTACTGTTTACAAGTACAACATACTGACCTTGCCCCTTACAAATTCCTGAAGTGAGGAAGGTTACTATTACTTCTGAAGAAAAGCCACTGATTTTCATGACCATCTCTTGCCTGATTTACACTATGCTAGTACTCCCAGCAAAAATTGGATATTATTGCAAATCAGGTCAAGATCATCTTTTAAAAACATCAAGTGCTGTGCAATTTGAAAACACTGTTCACATTTGCTTAAAGCCTTGTCCCAGTTAACTACATGGGCCAGCCTTTTCCATCTCAACTGCTTGTCTTAGAATCTACATTTTTTGCCCATTTCAGCACATACAGTGTAGCTAGTTCTAGAAACGGGCATGGAGAAGAAAGAAAGGGTAAACAGTTAAGATTTAACCATCTTTTATTTGAGATGCTACAACAGCTCAGTGCTTTTCTGTAATATCTGCTGAATCATCACATGTGAAAATAAAGTCCAAAAAAGTGCGTCATCCCTCCCATCAGTACTGCACAGCACTGTATTTGCACAAAGGCACACAACACATATACAAGTACACGGTGCAGAGCTGCATCCCAACCCTTCTTTTCAACCAGAGAATGGCTGCATCTTGTCCAGTGAAGGAAGAGTTTGTGTTCTAAATTCTGAACTCTTATTCTTAAAAAAACAGTTATACGGTAGTACATGTCCAGTAGATACTAAATGCAATATGTTGTTCAAAGAAGAGCAGGAAACAAAGAACAAGGGCAGAGAAAAGGGGGGCAGGACAGGGACAGGGGACACAGGAATAAGATGGTGAGTAGGCCCACCTAGGACAAGAATGAAAATGTCACAAGAAGCATAGTACAGAAAAAAAAAAAGGTGAAAAATTTAGAAGATTCTCAAGTATCATCACCTCTTTTCTCCGTCAGTGTATTTCACAGACATTTGTTTTAAGTATCTATTTCAAACCTGGTCTAGCACTAACAGACGTACACACGCTACAACCTATACCACTGCTTCCAGTCAGTTCACATGGCTCAAGCCTGTGCAGCAACTAAGGGCTGCTATCCTACCACTGACCCCACAGAAGAACTCATCCTGAGAAACCATAAGGTGCTATTTTCCAACTTATTCAATGTCTTCCTTTATGTAAGGGGAAAGAAATGAAGCGTGAAGCAGGAGAGATAAAAAGAATTAAGAGCATAGCAACAATTAAAATCAAAGTAAACATATTTTAACTCTTCTTCCAGTCCACAGGAAGAGCTGAGGATCTACTCTGGGGATCAAATCTAGTTCCACAGTTAAGCAGACAAACACGATTGCTGCTTCCTTTTTAATCTGTACCTTCTACAAAACTCCAATTGGCCAGACAGACAAAAATATTCTCACAGGGACAAAAAGGATTAAGAGGAGCCCCAAAAACAACTCAAGGGTCCCAAATCCTTTTAGTAACACCTGAAATAACCTTATCACACATCTTAGTGGAATGTGGGAAAAAACATAACTCCTCCGTTTTCCTCCCATTCCCCTGCCTACATATTTAACAAGTTTCTAGTGTACAGAGCACTCAGTGCCGGAAGGGAATGGATTACAAGGCCCAGTGTGTTCATAGGCCACAAATACTCAGATCAGGGCTTGCAGGCAGAGGTTCTCAAGAAGTGTGAAGAACAGCTGCATTCTCATGTGCTAGATACAATGTACTCTGAGGTCTCTACCCCTACATTTAAGGATAAATATTTGAACCGTCTCTCCTCCTTCATGACCCATTGACAAGATGCTGTGGAGCTGTACAATCAAGCTCCTTGTTAACACCTGAGCAAAACATTCAGCAACAAATCTGAATGAATTCAGACTGCATTAAAAGGATTATCTTTAAATTTGGGATGAGTACTGCTAATCGCCAAGCAAGAGCAAATTTTTCATTTAAAGACAGAACTTCAACACTGACACCCCACAAAAGCAAAAATACAATTGAGAAATAACAGATCATCTGCTGTAATACAACTCACCAAGTCAATGACCAAAGCAATCAGTATTTTAAAGAAAGTTTTGCCTAACTGAAGTGCAAAGCTTTCCTGTTTGCACTTTAAGTCACAAACAACAGACTCTCTTACCACTGATCGGACAGGAATAAAGACTCACCTTAGCAAATCTGACTTTGAAGTTACAGTCAAAACCTTAAAAGATTATCCCCCAAAAACATACAAATAAAAAATTGATAACTCCACAGAAAAAAAGGAAATGTAAAGTAATTTCTGCATCCTTGCAGACACTTGATGTTAAGGCTTCCATTCCCACAATACTAGCAATCATAATATGTCACACTTGTGAACAAGTGTAAGGTAAGAGTTCTTCTTCAGAACTATTACAAGATTGTTCACCTTTTAAAAGGTATGTTTCTGCATGAAGAAGGCAATCAACAGTATATTTTTTTGGAAGTTAACTGCTAGCCATCAATCTCATGTTAGAAACATCTTTATCAATCTTCTGAAAAAGGCAACTTGGAATTCACAAGGCCTGAGATATTTACAGGAAATATTAACCTTTGGGCTTGTCAGTGCAAGGAAAGTGAAGTAAGCATGGAGAACTCTAAGCAGAGCCAAGTACTTATTCTTTCAACAGTTTCTGTTATGTACACTATTTGTACTTCCTTCAATCCAAGCTAAGGATAGGAGGAAGTCTGCAAAGTGGTTCCTTTAAGTAAATTGTCCAACACACACTGCTTGAATTCCATGTAAAAAAAAGTTTGCAGTTGCATAGATTTCAGCTATATTCACAAGTACAAATACATTTTCACATAGACTCTTAAAGAGGGAACAGAATTGTCATACCTACCTGTCACATTGTTGCATTATAGAGATTTCTTTAATTATTTCTTGAAGATCTGACTCCACGGGGACCTGTTTAATCGCTACAACTTGTCCAGACTCTTTGTGTATTGCTTTAAACACACTACCGTAAGACCTGAAAACAAGAGGGATTTTATTTTTTTTAAGCAAGATAAACTGCTTCTCATTTCCATTATGGAGAAACTTTAAAAAGTCACAGAAGCCATATGTTCATGAAGAAGTTTGGGGGGTTTTTCAGGCTGCAAAAAATTGAGTTCTATCAGAACCTCAGGAAAGACATGCCTCTGAAGAATGAATCTTTGTCAAGATGTAGTATATCTAACTCCAGTACAGGCACAAGCACCTTTGCTGCCTTAATAAACAAGGGACTTCAAAAATGCGTAAATATACTTAGGGAAGCATGGAAGTCTACTGAGGCATGCGTTTCCTTTATTATTAAAACTTGTCCAGAGAAATATTCCTTAGGACATTTACAGTTTCTCTGTAACTTAATATTCCAACATATGCTTTATATACTGTTTCCCTCTGATCTCATCCCCTCGTAAATAGCTGCACTTACCCTTCACCAAGTTTCTCTAGAACATCAAAGACTTCTTCAGGTTGCTTAGTTAAACTATCTTCACTTAGCTTTTTCAGTTTGCTAAAAGAAAGAAAAAAGTTATTTGGTTGTTTAGAGGGGGGGAAATACACAGAACTCAAGCAAATTTTCACGCAAATGAGCAGACAAAAAAAAAAGATTATAAAGAAAAAATATTCCAATGAAAATAAAACACCTAATTAAAGTGTGGTAATAACATTTTCATCAACCTTCACGTAAGATGGAGAAGGTTATGACAATTTTTGTCATTATCTCTTTCCCACTAATGTTTGCTCAATTCAAAGCAGCATGGGACCAATTCACTGTCCAAACCACTTCCTTCGCTAAAGCAGAAACAGCCAAAGAACACAGTAAAGCTCACCTTTCGTCAAAAAGCAGCCAGCATGCAAACACATGCTCATTATTGCCTAGAGTATGCCATGCTGTTATCTAAGAAAGTATAAACCACTCCTTCACCCACATGAAGTATCCTCTTTCTAAACTACACCACTCATAAGCACATGAATTACATTAAGTTAAAAGCAGAATCCAGAGTCAAGAGGACTCTGGGAGCACATGGTAGCACTTCCCCTTCACAGACGGTAGCAGAACACTGAACTTCCAAGAGTTGAGTGCTCTAAGAGTTTTTGGGGCTGTCCCTTTTGCATCTTTGTGAATGTACATCGGGACAGGTGCAACAAAATCTCTAATTATGTACCAACCACTGCATTTTGCCTTCTAGTTGTCTCTCACACATTCTCAAATAGCTCAGTATCATCCTTCTATTACTCCCAGAATGTTCAACCCACTCTTACCACTATCCTTCATACTTTACAAGCAGTCCTAGCCTTTCCCTGGTCTCCAGCATCCCCATCTATCCAGCCCCCTAGACTCCTGGCAAATTTCAGAACAAAACTCGGCTGCAAGCTTGCAACGGGGTCAACACTGAACATAGCACAGGAAGATATAACGACACACACATTGTGGTGAGGCTGGGTGGCTACAACATATAAACCCTTCATCCTAAAAGCTATAGGGAATTTTGCTGCAAAATTGAAATGACAAGTTACACTCTACATGATAGTCAAGGGCAGTATTAAAGTAGATGACGAGCTGAAGAATAGCTGGTGCTGTAGTGTTAGATATAGACAAGGTATTCCATATGCAGGAGGATAAAAAAGGGAAAAAAAAGAAACTTTGAAGCACAGCAGATCATTGAGAACTTACAGAAAATATGTTATCCTGTGACACTTTCCTGGAAATGAATTCAAAATAGGGGAAAGGGGGAGGGAATGGACAGAAAAGATTGTCAAATCTTAACATTGGAATAACAGCATTCAAAAGAAACTCCTTCATATTCAGAGATGGAATTGTGTGATATACAGAACTAATAAAAATTAAAGTGAAATGACTGATGAAGGAATTCCAGAGTCAGAAGAGACTTGCCACTGTCAACCATCCTAGTAAGGACAAAAACTAAAGTAATTGTATAAGCTCACAGGTCATATGGATTGGTGTTAAACAAGGAAAGCAAGGCGGGGACAGGAGGACGTACACATTTATATATCAAAGAACTATTTCACAGATGTAGCAATTATATGAATACAAAAAGCATCCACAATCAGTAAGGGAAGGTGCCTGAACTTCTGTAAAGACCATGCAGTTTGCTACAGCAAGCAGACAGGAAGCTGGAAAGTACGCGTGTTTAAGGGGAACTAAAAATCTCCACAGCAAAGGAAAGGCACAACTCATGAACACAAAGGAAAACAGCAGAAAACTCAAATGACAGCAGCTAAATAAAGTCTGCAAAACTTGCCTACAAATCAAACACAGGAACACATAACAACTCTGCTTTCTTTTCCACCCTCTCTCTCTACTTGTCAGAGACTAGACAGCAGAAAGATGGAACTTAAATCTTGCAGGGAAACACATATTTCATTACTGAATAAGTGTAAGTTGAGGCAAATAAAGAGAGGGGTAAAAAAAAAAAAAATATTTTGCACATAGGTATTAAAGAAACAAATCACTCATTTTGCTGCTTTCGTTTCAAATTCTTTTTTCCCCTCTGATCAGCTCCTCTGCAGCCTTAAGGGCAGCATCCACAGAATAAGTTACTGCAATCACCCTCTGCTTGCCACCAGCAACACGCGTGCACAGTCTGCTTACGATACCAGCAGAGCCTCAAAAAATGAAAGGCCTGACCATTAGCTCAGTCTCTCACTTTATCAAAGAGCTGCGTAGCAGAAGACAACAGAACAGCGGAGGGACTGAACTTTTTAGTAACCACAAGAAAGGGGAAAACACACAGTAGACATCTTTAGTTGAGGTTAAGAAGAGAACAGTTCCACCTGCTCATCAAAAGAGCAAAGCCTGCTAAAATGAGAACGGAAAAAAAAAATCCATACCAAAAGAGTTCCAGCACCACTAATGCCAAGACATAGGGAGTGTTTGAGAAGAGTTAGGGAAACAATCATGAACAGCCATAAATTGATCAAAAACAACGTCACTGTCAAATAACAGATTACCTGCAGTACTTAAGAGGCAGCGTGGAGACCAAAGAAATAAGCATTCTATAGTTTTAAAACTATTTTCTCATTACCCAACTCTGACAAACAAGTTATGAGACCAAATAATACTTAACACTAAGGCAGCTAAATACTAAGTCTACTTAGAGGAAGAAATATAAGTCAACTTCAGGAATTTCATCTCCGAATTCACTGCTCAAAGTATCTCGCTCCTTTACTAATACATTGTAAGAGTATAGATGCTAGGTCCCACATTCCAGTGACAGTATTAACACCACAGTTCTTTGAACCATAGAAAGATCCCAATGACTCAGACTGTTTAAAGATTTCTATTTCTAGAAGTTTAATAGAATCCGCAGCTCTTTAACTACAGAACAGCATGCGATATACCCTGAAAGAGTCGCAATAAAGAAAGCATTAGTGAAAACATCACGCAAAGCAAGGAGGAGGAAGACAACTGTTGTAACTGGCTGCAAAGCACTAAGTAGAATACAAGAAGAAAAGACGAGAAATATTACCTTCTTGGTTAAAAACAAGCAACTAAAACTTGGGACAGAGAAATACATCTAAGACTTCAGAATTAGCTTCTTAATCAGGAGCTGTTTGTGTGCATGTGTGTCCTACTATCCACAATTTGAAAGTGTGCAAGATCAGACACAGAGCCAAACACTTCAGAAGGATCACTGCTTTTTTAAAAGCATTAAAGTGCTCCACATGGGAAGTGAATTCTACGAGCAACCAGCAAAATACCTATCTGCCAAGGCATGACTAGAAATACGGGGGGGCGTGGGGAGGTAGAATTGAAGAGACAAAAGAGCCCAAGAACAATCAGAGAGAAAGAAGGTGTCTCATTCCTCTCCCTCATGGATCCTCTACTTTCATAACACAAGCGTTTAAAACAGAACAAATAAATCAGTAAATTCAGGCACTGTTTTATTCAGGCCACAGGATACAAGCGCCATAAATACGTGAGAAAGTCTACAGGAGATGCATAGAAGACAAGTATAAAACCCGGGTAGAAAGTCATGCTGGGTTTTTGGCTCTAGAAAAATCACCAGGGAGTGACTATGGGCTATTTCAGTAGTCTTCCAGAAGCCAAGCTGTTCCTGAAAGCAGGAGGACTAACCGAACTACAATTCTGGGACAACAAGAGTTGTCAAAATTATTCTCTTGTTCCAAGCAGGTTTGACCTTCTGCGTAACACCTAGTCTCTTAAACAAGAAAAATACACCCTAGCGAAGAATTTTACTTTTATAAATCCAGTTGACAGGAGAAAACATTCATACTTAGCATGCCCAGAATCTTACATGTCATTGAGTACGTCAGCAAAACTCCACATGACTAAATGCAGAAAAACATAGAAATAGCGAGAGGTATCCAAGACTACCAATCCTAGCATAAAGATCAGAAAAATCTGAATTAGGATCTGAAGGAGTAGAAGATTCCCCCCACCACCACGAAAAAACAAAGTATAAATTTAGTGTCCTATAGTTATTACGTACAGATTTTACAAAATAAACTGGCGATGTGCTACAAAGGTACACATAACAAAAAAAAAAAAATAAAGCAGGACTAAAGAATAGAAGTCCATCATTTACTGTCACGAGTTATGGAAAACTGGACAGCTGCTCCATGAAACATGACTATATGTGGTTTATTTTGCAGAAGAGCTAGCACACTGAAACATTTAAAAAGAATGGCTGGCATCAATTATACTGATATATTAAAGAGAAGGTAGTAAGAGAAATCACTGCAATCTACAGAAATAGAGGTGGCACGTGAAAGCCTCGAGACATTTACACTGCTTTACACTGTTCACACAAGTAGAAGCAAGTTTAAGACAGTTTACATTATTGTATTGTGTACTTATATTTAGTTTTCTACCAATAAAACCCAAGCAAACTTACACTTTTGTCCCAACATCTTCAGGAGGAATTTGAGAGTTGTCATCCATGTGACCTTACGCACCCATTGACATAAACATTAAAAACAGCATATTTTTCAGACAGTTCATATTTTAAAAACATGTTTTTCCCTTCCCACAAAACTTGAAAAGTTATATTTCAGTGAAAATTAAATTGCCCGAGTTTAAAGGACTGGAAAATCTTAATTAATATGCTCCACACTTGTTAACTGGCCTTTTATTTGGTGGCAGGGTGCAGGAGATGAGCAAGATTAAAAACTACGTATTTGACAGAACTGCATCTCTAGGTACTTTCCTTTTCCCTTGTATGCAACCTATCTCCTCATACATGAGTACGCCAACATATACAGAAAAACACAACAATAATAACAGGGGAAAGATGCAAGACTCAGATGCAAATTTTGTAACTGACTATTTCAAGAGTGAATGTCCTTTTTAGTGAGGCAAAGAAGTATAAAGCACATCTGAAATACAGTTAGAAATTCAGATGCAAGAAAACACTCTGTCAACTGCGGTACAAATTATTCAGTATAAAAATCAGAACCACCACTCTAAATTATTTTAAAAAGTAAACAAGATTATTCTGGAAAGAACTCCTCCTTAGAAGTCTTTTCTTACTGTTGCAGTACCTTGGTCAAACAAGAAAAGCTACTGATTTTTATTGTATCCCCATTGAAAAGCCACAGTGGCCTAGTCCATCACTGGGGCATCATCTCTGCTACTTTTTGAAGGGCTGTTTTAAAAATTTACACAACATACAACTGTGTTGTGTGTTCCTTTATAGAGAAGGGGGGAATGAAAGTGTCCTATACCTTTAAGGCAACACTGAGATTCTAGGACATCCATGCAGTTTTGAAGTGTTCATATGAAATTCTTGCTACCTCTAGATGAATGTCTTGCACTACAGAACTGCTCCTGTGGACAACAGGCATCAAAGTAAAGAAATCTCGTGCTCACATCTATTTCACCAAGTAAACGTGGTGTGTCCATTCCAAGCCACTACTGCATCCAAGGCAGGCATCAAAAAATTCAGCCCACAAAAAATAATCTGTACTCCCTCTCGACTTGCAGAAAAAGAGAGTGGCCTACCAGAATAGTTGGGAAAAAAAATGCCGAACAGTCAAAAAACTGTAAAAAACAACAGATAAAGGGGATATATATGCACATTTATGAAAAACTGAGTTCAAATCTTCCCTTTCACTAAAGAAACAAATCCATTAAGTTCTCAACACGTTCAAATTTCCAGAAATAAGCTTCAAAAAATATGGAAAGTATAAAAACATGCCAGAGAGTTTAGAAGGTCTCTCATGAGCTTTTTACTTCTTCCTGACTGAATCTAAGGATTTAAACAGCTCCCCACTTTTAATTAGGCCAGACATGCAGCTCCAGCTAGGTAATAAGGTTAGAGCAAATCCCAGATCTTCCCCAAAAAAATCTTGTAGGTTATGCTAACTTCAAGTTTTATTTTCAGTCCTTTGACATCATCAGATCCCAAGCTTTGTACTTATGCTGGCAACACTGATTACTCCTCAGACTTTCCTACTTCTTCCCCTAAACCCTTGCTGGTGCCTGTCCTACTTGCTTTATTTGAGACATGCAGCACTGTCAGTCTGAAACTACAGTGTAGGCCTGTCCCCCTTCACCCCATTGCCTGCTAAAACTACGTTGCAGAACAACTACTGATCAATTGCTCAAAGTTTTCAAGTAGTAGATACTGTTACTTGATGTATTTATTATTGGAGGAGAAAACAGTAGAAGTTCAAGACTGCATTATTCTCAAGTCCTGTCATCTCACAGAAAGTTGTTTTAAAGAATTTTAAAGGTTTTAAGTAGAATGTGTTTTACAGTAGAATGTAAAAATCGATCTATTATCTTCTACCACCAATTTATATTGTGTAGTACCTAGATTTTTCATCAAATTAACAGGAAGCAAGAGTAAAATACTGGGAGCTCTAAGACAGCAAGGATATATGCAAACTGTGTAACTAAATTCTGTATACCACACAAATATATTCTATGTAGCATATAACTACATCCAAGGAAAGATTGTTCCAATTTAAATATATGATTAAATTTAATATGATTAAATATGATTAAACTAAATTATTTTGTGCACTAGGATGACAGTTCACATTTAAAGCAAAAGCTCATGGCTTCACATCATTACATATGCACATAAAAAGAAGTCAAATGACAAATGCTCAAAAAAAAAAAGCAAAACTCAAATACCTAGTAATTAATATGACCAGATATATATTTCAGAAAATACACATACTGTGGGAATACTCTTGATTTTTGCTTCTTCCCACTCCCTGATTTGCAATTGCAACTATGCAACCCCTGCCCCCACAAGCATCCCTCCACCAGCAGGACACAAGGGCACTTTCTAATGTGGAAAGACAAGAACAACTACTTATGTCCGTGTCTTCCATAGACCTCAACTAGAAAGTGCACAGATCCCCCGACCACAGAGGACTCTTCTAGGCGATGAAGCTTCCCTCATTTCACGTTAAAACGTTCCTCTTGTAACTCAACCAGTCCCTAAGGGTTTGCCTCCACCTGGACGTTTACCCACGAGGGTTATTTCGGGGGAGCCCCCCCGCGACAGAAGACCTTCCCTAACGCAACACAACCGCCT